TCCCGACATTGTAAGTATTTGTTCGTGAATTTAGTTTACCTTCAACAAACAACAAAATTCTGATTTTATATGTTACGTTATTTAAAAAACATAAATGATGTATCCTCTATATGTTACTGACTTACTAATACTGGTATTTTCTTATTAATAACTTCCTCTTTCAATATTGGTAACCAGATCCTACTACATTCTGCCGAGGAATTTGCGACACAATTGGCCTCATTTAGCATAATTAGAGCCGCTTCTTGGATTTTTCTTTTTTTACCATCCGTTTCTTTTAGGACTACATTTGAATTATTCCATTGAACCCTATGTTCATTATCCCATGCGTGTTTACATATTTGAGATCTATCAAATTCTCTATTTTTAATATAAGATTGAAATTGCCATTAAATAAGACTTTAAGTATAGTCAAGACAAAATTAGAGAGTGATGATTCATTGGCAACTAGAACAAGACTAAACATATCGGCTATAATGGAGTTATTAACATTATGTACTGATAATACATATTTTCAACTAAATAATGAATTCTATAAACAAAATTTTGGTCTAGCAATGGGCTCTAGTTTATCTCCATTCTTAGCCGATATATTTATGGAAGATTTTGAAACAAATATCATTTCTAAACAAAATTTCAAACCGACAGTATGGTATAGGTATGTAGATGATGTATTCTCAATATGGCCTCATGGATCAGAGTTATTGGACACATTACTAAATGATATAAACGATAAAGAAGAGACAATAACATTTACCATGGAAAAGGAATATAATAACACGCTACCTTTCCTGGATGTTTTAATCTCTAAGAACGATACTGGATATGAGACTCAGGTGTATAGAAAACCAACACACACCAATAGATATTTAAATTTCAAATCAAATCACAATATTAATGTAAAAAAGGGAATAATTAAATCCTTATACGATAGACCCAAAATTACTTGTTCTAACGAAAATTCGTTCTTGGAGGAGAAACATTTGTTAACATCTGTTTTATTAAAAAATGATTATCCTTTATCGTTTATAAATAAGGAATTTTCAACAATCGATCGAATAGAACAGAACAACTTAGAACGAGATCCTACAGCATACACAAGGAATAATATGAGGAAAATAACAATACAGAACATAAAAGGATTATCAGAAAAACTTAAAAGGATAGGAAATAAATTCAACATTTCAACAACATTCAAAACAACAAACACGTTGAGATCTATTTTGTCCAAAACCAAACCTAACAATGAACAAGAAAGGACAAAGAATTGCATTTATAAAATACCTTGTGAATGCGATCAGTTTTATTTAGGTGAATGATCAAGGCCATTAAATGTTAGAATAAGTGAACATCAATCTTATATTAAAAATAGAGAATTTGATAGATCTCAAATATGTAAACACGCATGGGATAATGAACATAGGGTTCAATGGAATAATTCAAATGTAGTCCTAAAAGAACGGATGGTAAAAAAAGAAAAATCAAAGAAGCGGCTCTAATTATGCTAAATGAGGCCAATTGTGTCGCAAATTCCTCGGCAAGAATGTAGTAGGATCTGGTTACCAATATTGAAAGAGGAAGTTATTAATAAGAAAATACCAGTATTAGTAAGTCAGTAACATATAGAGGATACATCATTTATGTTTTTTAAATAACGTAACATATAAAATCAGAATTTTGATGTTTGTTGGAAGGTAAACTAAATTCACGAACAAATACTTACAATGTCGGGATAGTATTATGAGGTTTTTTTCCTGGTTTTTCCCTCATAATTTACTATGGAATCACTAACAGAAGAATTTTACTGTCATCATGTCATGTGTTTGTCTTTTTAAAGACGAATTACATGCTATGATTTTTTCTGACGGATATTCTCAAGTTAAGTTGATTTCATGTAATCGAATGAACTATCTTATAAGTAAAGTCGTCCCAGGAGCGCAACTCAACAATATTGGCAATATCATTTTAAAGTCGTCTACTTTAAAATGCATAATGTATGTCTGAATTGTCAATATAAATGAGTCAGATAAAATTAAATTATTAGAAGAATTTTTCACTATGTAACAAAAAACAAAATTTGTTTAATTTATGTTTGTATTTTGAGAACGATTTCCGAAGTGGAAATTGAAACGTCAATAAACGTATTTTTATCTTTAATTGTGGCTTATTCCCAGTTAAATAGTATTGGTCACAGTTTTGATTTAATTTAAACAAAAAACGTTAAACGTTATTCATCTTATCTGTTAGAAGGTCTAAGTACCAAACGAATATTTTGTTACCGTGGTTAACTCCACAGATGGCACTCTGGTGTTTATTCCTTTTTGGTCGAGATTTCCATATAATTGGATTTATTAATATTAATTTTCAGTCTCAATCTTTTTGCTATACTTGTCAGTTCTTTTATACATAAATAGTGCCGGATTTAGTGCCTATTTATTCCACTAACCCGTACAATATTTTCTAGAACTATATTGAATAGCAATATAGACAAGAGGTCTCCTTGGCGAACACCTTTTTTCACTTCGATTTGTATGTTATTGTATTGTATTTTCTTTAGTAGTCACTCTGTCGTTTAGAAACTCTTCGAAATATTCACATAAACCGGGTCTATATGTGAATCGATGAAAAACTCATACCTGTGCATTTAGCACAAAATGTACCAATACCTGTTCTCATCGATAAGACCACTGTAATGAATTCGTAGGAAGTACACATATTTAGGCATAAAAACATAGTAGCCGGACTGAAAAGGAAATAAAAGAACGGATAGTAAGAGGGAAAAAGGTTATTGGATGTCTAAATTCAATACTGTGGTCACAAGATATATTTTGTGAAGCTAAACACCTATTCATTAACTCAATCTTTAAAAGTATCGTACTCTATGTGTGTAAAGCATGGCGGCTAAACAAACTCCTAGAACGTCGCTTATTGCTCTTAGAAATGGACTTCTGGCGATGATCTGCCAGAAAATCAAGCCTGGAAAAAATACTTAATGACGAAATACGACAAAATATGAGAATCTCAAACTATTACTGAAGAAATTAAACGCTTCCCAAGCAGATAATAAAATGGCTACCAATTAAAAGAAGGAAAAAAGCAAACCAAAATGGTCATAGTTAGGAGGGGTTCAAAGAGCAATGTCGGAGAGTAATCGGAGTGGAGGAAAATTATGAACTCCTTTAGATAATGGCACTTATTCTCAAAAGCAGATCTATTCTATATGAGGGTCGCATAAAAGTACTTACCTAATATAGTTTGTTAGTTTCAAGTCTTATATAAAGCATAAAAAACGACATTTTTCGACTCTATTATTGTTATTTCTTAGGGGTGCCTAGTTAGCATTAAATTAGTGAATTTAGATTGTTTTTGATACATTTACTCTAGTTGTCAGAGACGAGAATGCCACTGAACCTCTAAAAATGGTAAAAAAAGGACGAGGCTAAACCTTTTTGCATCTGATTGATAGATTCGACCTTAATTTGATGGAAATTCATTTTATGTAACAATAAAACACTGAAAATTTTGTTTTCAGACTTCCACAAAATTTATTTTAACCTCTTATCACTACAGCTATTTCGACTGATTGCTTTTCTCAAGTGATCTATTTTTGGCATGCGTTTACACTTTATAGTCTCTAATGAAACTGGTTGAGGAGGGGAGAACTGTTTGTCTCAAGTTGGTCATTCAGAATTATATCTGTGTTTTTTAATTTGTTGATTTCCATAGATTTCTAACAAGGATAGCTTAAGGCCTTTATTTTGAATGTGAAGAATTTTAAATTCGTCATTAAAAGAATGATTGTGATCTAGAAGGTGAAGTGCGTATGTAGAATCTGTTTTTCTATTATTGAAAGCCCTTTTATGTCCTGCTATTCGTTTATTAAAGTTTCTACCAGTATGGCCAATGTAAGTTTTTGGGCAGTCGCCACATTTAAATTTGTACACACCACTGTGTAAGTGTTTTTTATTTTGGCTCTTGTTGTTTTTGATATATTTGCCTAGGTTGTTATTTGTTCGGAAAGCTGGCGTTATTCCTTTCTTTTGTATGTGTTTGGCTATTTTTGTTCATATTTTGCCTGTATATGTATTCGAGCAGTAGGTACTGTGTTTTTTCTCTGGTGGTGGAAATACTAATTTTAGGGCTTTCTTGTATAGTTTTTGATTTAAGCCCTGAAATTAGTATTTCCACCACCAGAGAAAACAACGTTCGATTACATATACAGGCAAAATATCAACAAAAATAGCAAACACATAAAAAAGAAAGGAATAACACCAGCTTTCCGAACAAATAACAACCTAGGCAAATATATCAAAAACAACAAGAGCCAAAATAAAAAACACTTACACAGTGGTGTGTACAAACTTAAATGTGGCGACTGCCCAAAAACTTACATTGGCCATACTGGTAGAAACTTTAATAAACGAATAGCAGGACATAAAAGGGCTTTCAATAATAGAAAAACAGATTCTACATACGCACTTCACCTTCTAGATCACAATCATTCTTTTAATGACGAATTTAAAATTCTTCACATTCAAAATAAAGGCCTTAAGCTATCCTTGTTAGAATCTATGGAAATCAACAAATTAAAAAACACAGATATAATTCTGAATGACCAACTTGAGACAAATCAGTTCTCCCCTCCTCAACCAGTTTCATTAGAGACTATAAAGTGTAAACGCATGCCAAAAATAGATCACTTGAGAAAGGCAATCAGTCGAAACAGCTGTAGTGATAAGAGGTTAAAATAAATTTTGTGAAAGTTTGAAAACAAAGTTTTCAGTGTTTTATTGTTACTTTTTGCATCTTTTTTGGCGTCCTAAAATTGAAATTCTCAGCACAATTCAGCTTGTTCGTATGATTTTTAATAGTCAAATCTCTGACGACTGGATAACTCAGCTACACCATTAACCAAAAAATACTCAATGTGGAATTAAGACGTTTTAGCATGTTATTCTTTTAATATAAAAAATATACTATATTACTGTTGTACAAAAATATTAATATAATTCATGTCCGTGAATATGGCCATATCCATAACTGTAAGGATCAAACCCGTGAAAACTGTGATCATAAAGTCCATGATGATGATCAAAAAAATCATGAAAACCTCCAAAATCATGATCAAACCCGTGTGCAATGTCATGCCCAAAGTCGTGGTGGAATCCCACACCAAATCCATGATCAAACCCATGTCCTAAACCGTAGTCAAAACCGTGGAACCCGATATGGTGGCCGAGGGGTTCTACATGATGCACTTCTTTATGTGGATGGTGGTGTGGCGCGATGCCTTGTGTATGATGATGCTGAGGTATCTCATGATGGGGATGAGGCAAGCCTTCATGATGGAGTGGTAGTTTATTTGAATGGCCGCTGAAGTGGTTGTGTATTTTTTCTATGTGGTGTCGAAATGGGTGGAAAAGTTTTTCTTTGAAGTGGTCTATGTCGAATTCTTTTAGTTTCCTGAAAGTTCCTGTTGCCATTGATAGACTAGCTGCTAGCAAAACTATCATAACCTAAAAATATGAATATTCATACAAATGTAATACAAATATATTGTAGTATATAACAAACATAAATGACATTTGATAAAGCAATCTCTAGGACAATATGCAGAAATCAAACAATAACCAAAATACCACAGCAACCAATAAAGCTTCAGATATGCAATTTTGGTTAAAGGTTGTATAAGATTCAACAGATGACGCAATAAAGAAATAAAAAATGCATTAGACAGGCCATTCACGTTCCGACTTTTAGTCCGACTAGTGGTCCAACTTCTGCAGTTGGATCTGAAATCGGACCGCGAGTGGACTGGTTGGACAACTGTACGAGTCGAAACATCTAGTGGGACGACTTGAAGGTCCGACTTCCGACTGGCGACGAAGTCGGAGCGTGAATGGTGAAGTTGGAAGTCGGATCACAGTCGGATCGAAAATTTCCTCGGTCAGTTGACCTTCGGCACCTGTTACGTATGAGATTTCTATAAATTACTTTACGCAAAGATCCCTAGTTCGCAAATTATTAATTGAAAATAAACTTTAATTGCACGAAAATTACCATTATTAAAATACACGATTTTTAATCATCGTCTACTTTTTGTTAGGGCAAATCATTTTCCTTTCTGTAGATCTCTTTCGGACACTCCCACACAGGTATAATATCCAACACTCCGGATTGGCTACAGAAGAATTATCAACAAACAACTACAATTTAATCATAGTTTTTAGCAAAGACACCATAGTTCGTAAATAAATAATAGAAAATAACTTTCAATTGCACGAAAAATTATTATTATTAAAAATATAAGACACACACAACAAAATAAATCCCAGCTCCAGTTTAAAACAAGTTTTTATTTAAATCATGAATGTGTTGCCAGTGTGAATCCATTTCAAATAGGTAAAGAAATAATAAATAAGACTTACTCACAATCAATTTAATTTAACTATTCAGACGACCGGTTTCGCTTTCTACAATATGCAAAGCATCTTCAGGTCTCGATACAAAGTTAAATAAATGCTGAAATGATAAAAACCCATATTAGGGTATTGTATGATAAAGATAAACAAATTAGATGTTATAAATTACAATAATTATGCCAATATTACATGTCTGTGGTTTATTTAAAATGAATAAAATGAATAAAAGGTATAAAAAGTTTAAACAGACAAGGTAAGACCCACAAATTGTTATAAAATAGTCTATTAGATTGTAATAAATTAATAAATGAGCAAATAAATAAACATTACTTACATGCCGGTACTCTATTAATTGATGGATGGTAGAACATGGTTGAAACTATCATGTATTGTTGAATGGAGAACTTAAGTCCGCTATTGTAGCTGTTTTGACAGTAAATATGAAGTTCTTGAGGAGATAGATTTGATCCAATGAAGTAGAGATAGGTGTGTGATTGTTTGTTAAATAAAAGTGATGTTATATACCATTGTATTATTTAAAAGTTATTTATACTTATTCGAGTGTTATATTTATGAAATGTGTGATATATGAGTATATTGAATAATGACATTTATGACAATGAATAAGCTTAGATGTACAAATTTGTGGTGTGCAATTATATTAAAGGTGTGTGCAAATAATTGCACACCCACACAATTTGTACATCTAAGCTTATTCATTGTCATAAAACTGTCACCTTCATAAAACAAATACTCAATAAATAACACACATTTCATAAATATATCTCTCGAATAAGTATAAATAACTTTTAAATAATACAATGGTATATAACATCACTTTCATTTAACAAACAATCACACACCTATCTCTACTTCATTGGATCAAATCTATCTCCTCAAGAACTTCCCATTTACTGTCAAACAGCTACAATAGTGGACTTAAGTTCTCCATTCAACAATACATGATAGTTTCAACCATATTCTACCATCCATCAATTAATAGAGTACCGGCATGTAAGTAATGTTTATTTATTTGCTCATTTATTAATTTATTACAATCTAATAGACTATTTTATAACAATTTGTGGGTCTTACCTTGTCTGTTTAAACTTTTTATACCTATTCATTTATTCATTTTAAAATAAACCACAGGCATGTAATATTGGCATAATTATTGTAATTTATAACATCTACTTTGTTTATCTTTATTAGACAACACCCTAATATGGGTTTTTATCATTTCAGCATTTATTTAAGTTTGTATCGAGACCTGAAGATGCTTTGCATATTGTAGAAAGCGAAACCGGTCGTCTGAATAGTTAAATTAAATTGATTGTGAGTAAGTCTTATTTATTATTTCTTTACCTAAGTTTTTATTTCTTTCTAAAATAGAATAGACCTACACAAATCCTTAAAAACTATAATTTTTTCCTACATCTTAAATAGGTCATAACAATCAAGAGTCGAAAAAATTAATTAGTTCAGTCCTAGACAAATAACTAGAGAAACAAAACCTAATTTTTAAACATACATATGTGTTGGCCGATTATTAACTCATTATAACGCCAACTTTCGTATCGACTTCACGCATTTCGTAATAAACAGTGAAGGAATTTCCGAATTTATCGATATCCACACATACAGATAACTGGTACCGAAGGAGACGAAGTATATGTGTCTAATTGGGTGCAGTACAATGAATTAAGCTTTTTGGCAGAAATAGGTCAGTCAGAACAGGCACCGATTCCTTAGATACACTTCCATCCTCTAAATTTAGCCTAACGACTATTGTGAAAACAAACTAGAACTGAAGTTGGACTGTTAGTTGGATAGCAAGTCGGAGCGTGAGTGGAGACGAATAACCAACTAGTAGTCCTACTGAGACCGCAAGTTGGAACGTGAATATCCAGCATTATTGCCGAAAGTTGGCTAGAAAATATAAAAAAACTATATAGAAAAATGGAAATATGGGAAGTCAAAAAAAAAACAAGACAAACAAAAACATATTGAACTTCATAATTAAGATATCTGGATAATTTTAATTAGAGCGGCCAAATTATTAATTTGTCTTTGGTTAGTGTTCAATACCAACAGTAGAAGCAAATAAATAAAATTTCAAATTTGTTCAATATAAGGTACCTGGTTAAATACCTTGGAAAGTCATTCCACGTTTATAAAAACGTTCTTTTATCAAAATCCTCTAGCTACAACTCCTGCCTTTGTTCTGCTTGCACGGAATCTAGGTCACATGTCCTAACAATCCTTTATATCTCTCTTGGCTGCCAAAATATTCTTGGATATGGTTTTCTCGATGAATGATAAACTTATTGAACTTATCAATATTGCAAACTTTTCCCAATTAGTATTCTTAGGCCAGCACTGCTACCACTTTTTAACCTCTTACTCACAAACTTGCTTTTACACCGTTCAAAACTATTGGCACTAGTTCACTTGTCAGGATTGGTTGTTCTTTTTTTTAAAGTTCAGCAATATATAACCAAATTCTTGTTCCAAATTTACACATCACATCAAATTAAAAATCTCCTTTGGCGGCAAAAAAAAGCGGCGGGTTTCTTAATGACACAATCTGGAAGAACAAACACCTAAGACAAGACACAAAAACAAGAATCTATAAAGCAGCAATTAGACCTATATGAACCAAACAGAGATGAAAATACTCCGACGAATATCAGGGAGAAATCTGTTTGATCGGGAGAGAAGCGAAAACATAAGAAGAGCATGCACTATAGAAGATATAAATGAATGAGTGACAAAACGAAAACAGCAGATGGAACGATCATATCAGTAGAATGGCAGAGGATAGAATAGTAAGAATAGCACGAGATAATCACCAAATGGACGAAGAAAGTATTGGCAGACCAGGAAAAAGATGGTGTGACAATTTAAAACAATTAGGAAGGCCAATATTGAAAAAGAAACATGCTTTAAAAGACTGCATACTAGAAGGAAGAAGAAGAAGAAGGTCGTTAGAATAGTAAAGGTTTCCATGATATTTACTAAAAAATCTTTTGTTTTATATGTAAATATTCCTTAAAACTACCATTACGAAATTTTTAAATTTTACCATTTAAGTTTTTAGAAGTACAAAGATTTGACAAGAGCATAAGTCATTGCAATTCAGTACACAATTAACTGTTATTTTCAAGGTCAGTATTTGTTAAACTCTATTACCTATACTGTGACATCGGTTAGAGAATTCCATTATTGTATGCTAATATCCAAAAAACTGATCAGTTCTCCTGGAACATGAAGAAATAAGCAGAACTTATCTGACTTGACAATGGCAAGTGTGACCTTGCCGAAACGTCGCAAAGCTTGTTTTTCTAAAAACAATATACATTGTTTACCGGGTAGGAAGTACATCTGAGACTGTGATGTAAGCGGCGCAAGCCGACTTAGCAAACAGAGTCCAGGAATGTGCTTTTCCTCGAGTAACATATTTTTCCGCAAATCGTTTTAAATTCGACAGATATTGATTGATTTAAAAAACAAATGCGGTAATTTTATTCCCAACTAACTGGTGCTTTGAAATTCCTAATACAAATTACTTGGGTTACTAGGGAACGTATTGAGGTATGAATTGTCAACTATGGTCCGCTTTATAAATTTTATATTGCTGGATTAAACAACTAACAACTGTACGAAAATATCATTTCCTTACAGTAAGGAAATGACATTTCCTTACAGTAAGGAAGTCGGATGCTAGTCTGACTTTTCCTTCAAGAAATTTTTGACAGGAAATGTCAAAATTTCCTGGCCGATTTTGCGGAAAAATCTATTTAACGCGGAGTCAACCCCGGATAACAATTTGAAACCACATAAACGCTCCCGCGGAAATTTCAAATCATAATATATAATATATAGATATATATATATATATAGATATATATATAAATATATATATCGATATATATATATATATATATATATATTTATATATATATGATAAAATCTCACACTATATATATTTATACAAACTAATTCAAAATGAATTAAGAGATACGAGGGTATCAGAAAAATAGGACAACTACTGCACAGATCAGATGATGTTTTTTTTTTTTTTTTTTTTTTTT